CAATCCTGTGGGGATAAAACAGAACAAAGACCTCTGAAAGGAAGGAAGCCAAGGGAATGTATGTAAACAGGCACAGCAGAGAGTATGGGGCTCCTTTGCCCCTAAGCTTCCTGACAGCTGTAGCAGGAAGGGGGGTGGGGGAAAGCAGTTCCCAAGTTTCTCATTTATGGAAAAAAAAAAATGAGGCACACAGACGTCCAAATGGACATTTTTCTAGGAATAAAATTCCAGGAGGCTCTTGTGGCCAGCTCAGCAAATACAAAGGACCAGAAATTCATCTGTGATTTCATGAGACACTGAAAGGCTTTTTGCACATGGGATTCTGAGAGTCAGAAGGCAGAGGGGGAAGAAAACATGAAGTTCTAGCCCACAGGATACCTTTGCTGGACTGTGTTATTTCCCACAACAGTAGGGGGTATAATAGGATGAGATCTAGGCCCTGTCTGTCTCTCTCCAAACATACACCACACTGCTTCTCTGGAGGCAGACCCAGTATCCTGCTCTATCTCTGGATATGACAGTCCTCAGGGCTAGAAGATCAAAGATTGAGTTCTGAGGTGGATGGGAGGTGGCCCACAGTAAGGATGTGTGTGAGGGTCAGAATGCCATAGGCAGAGGGATGAAGGGAGGGTTGGGTCTGTTGAGCTGGGTTTCCTAGAGGAAGCAGGGTAGGGGCTGTTTGTAGACTTGGAGAGGAGGGTGGTACTTGGGCAGGTAGAAGGGCATTGTAAACAGGAGAAGCAGCAGATGGTAGATGTTTCACCCTCCCAGATGTTGTTTCTTTAGCTGTCCCTTTCCCTGGTTTGTCTGCTGAGCCCTTCATGGTACCCCAACTACCCACACAGGTGAGGCTGACCCACTCCCATCCACCAGGATCGAGAGGGGAGAGACCTGTGCTCATAGCACCTTCTGCCCATCAGTGTGAGACCAGTCTGCCTTCTCCAGCTCAAGCATTATGGCACACTTCCTGGTGCAGTATGATGTGGTCATGGAGGACATCGTTGGAGAAGTGGAAAGAGCTTGCTTGGGCTTTGGAGTCACACAGGCAATGACATGGCACCTACATGTTGCTCCTGTGACACCTGGGACACCTGAGGACCAGGAAACATCAATAGGATGATGGGCAGAGACATATGGCTTTACACTTTGGGAGGCACCTATGAATCCTAAGATGGTTGGTGACTTGAAACTGTATACATATTGAAGCACACACCAAATGAACCCACCATTTCCACTTGAGTCAAGTTATTGTTGTTGTTGTTATGTGCCATGGAGTCAGCCCTGACTCACAGCGACCCCTCCTTGGGTTTCAAAGGCAGTATCACTACAGAAGTAGGATTGCCCAACCTTTCTTCCAAGGAGTGGCTGGTAGATTTGAACCACCAGCCTTCTGGTTAGCAGTCAAGTCATAGCTCATTTTAATGATTCTTTTTTCACAGTGAACCATTGGCCAATAATTGCTCTCTTGCAATCAAAAACTCTCATGTTTTATGGAGCTCTATATACCCAAACTTTTTCTTAGACTTCCCCACTCTCTCTTTCTTTTTTTTTTTTAAATTTTGTATTGTCATTTGGGTGAAAGTTTACAGAAGAAATTGGTTTTCCATTTAACAATTCATGCGCATTTTGTTTTCTAACATTGATTGCAATCACCACAATGTAAGAGCACTCTTACACTTACTCCTTTTGTTTACCATTCATTCTTCTTTCCTATCACTTCCTGCCTTCTAAACTTTCTGTAGTTATTTTTTTAAATTGGGATTTGGGTGCAATTTTACAGAGAAAATTCATTTTCCATTCAACATATACATTTTGTTTATTGGAATTGATTGCATTCCTCATAATGTAACAGCTCTCTTCCTACTTCCTCCCTGTGGTTAACTTTTCCCTGTGTCTTTCTTTCCTTTGTATTCCTGCATTCTGAGCTATCTCCTTGTGCAAATGCTGCCCTTCTGATCTTGTATGGTTGATTATTCTAAGGAGTGTACATATCTGGTGTAAATGTTCACCCTATAGTCCTGGAAGCCATGGGAGTGAGTTCAGTTCCATGCTTGAAGGGTTACTAGAGACCGTAGTCTCATGGGTTTCTCTATCAGAGAACAGTGAGCCTGGTCTTTTTTATGATATTGAGTTTTGTTCCACATTTTTCTCCCACTCTATCCAGGATCTCCTATTTGGATCCCTCTTTGAGTGGTTGACAGTGGTAGTCAGGCAACAACTAGTTCCCTGGTCTTTGATTTTTTTTACTTTATTCTTCATTATTCCAGTCAAGGAGAGACCAACTGTTGCATCATAGATGGCCACTCCCAAGGTTTTAAGACCCAAGTCGCTACTCATCAATGTAAGATGTAGAACAATGTTTTTGTGTAGTATGTTATGCCAATTGAGCTTGATGTCCCCTGTGACCACGGTCCAGAGCCTGCAGGCCCAGTGACTCACTCCCTCAAAGGGGTTTGGCTGTGGCTAAGAAGTTATCATAACTTTGCCCGATTAACTCTATTATATATATGAACATTCTTACAGTACATACAAATACATATGTAGAAATATCATCTGCCAAGCTTATATATGGTCATGGGTATATTCCCTTTTGCCTAGATATATCTGGTCCTTTTGCCTTTCTACTTATATATTCATCCATAGATTAATGTTTGTCATTACTTATAATGCAGTTGTTGTTGTTGTTATGTGCCGTCGAGTCAGACCCGACTCATAGCGACCCCTCCTTGGGGTTCTAAGGCAGTATCACTACGGAAGTAGATTGCCCAACCTTCCTTCTGAGGAGTGGCTGGTAGATTTGAATCTCCAGCCTTCTGGTTAGTGGTCAAGTGCATTAGGCACTATGCTACCAGAGCTCCTTATAATGAAGTAGTATGTATGTAAATGTATTTACCTTTGTTTTCTGTACCATTTGTGCACCTCTCCATGTCTCCTTTTTCCTTAGTGTTATTGTGCTGGTCACTTGATTTTGGTATATTGCCTTTCCCCTTCACCCAAATCAATACTTATCTCTTACCTATCTAGCAATTTTCCCTCCCCTTCCCTCCTGTGACTGGTAACCAACAAAGAAAGTTGCCTTCCATATGTAAAATTTTCCTCAATTTTTTTTTTTTATTAGGATTTGGGTGAAGATTTACAGAGTAAATTCACTTTTCATACAGCAGTTCACATATACTTTGTCTCATGTCATTGA